AGAGTAACTAACAACGATTGTTTGAAAGAAGCTAACGAAAGTAGATATCTATTTACAACAATAAGAAGGAGGCATACACAAACACTGTTCTTTGACCACGTAATGAGAGGAGAGACATTAGAGAACATCGGGACAACTGGAAAGATCAGTGGGAAAAGTGGTAAAGGCAGACCAAGAGAGATGATACTGGATAGGCTGAACCGATGGCTTGGAGGGAAATCATCAAGAGAGCTGATCCAGGCAACCAGGGATCGTGATCTGTGGAAATGCATGAGCGTCTACGCCAGTTGGCAGGGCACATGATGATGATGAGACAGACAGACAGACAGACAGACAGACAGACAGACAGACAGACAGACAGACAGACAGACAGACAGACAGACAGACAGACAGACAGACAGACAGACAGACAGACAGACAGACAGACTGACTGACTGACTGACTGACTGACAGACTACCAGACAGACAGACAGCGGACGGGCAGACAGACAGCAAAACAGACAGAAAGACATACAAGCAGACAGACAGACAGAGGACAGACAGCGGACAGACAGACAAACAAACAGACAGACAACGATTACATCTAGATAAATCACCTTCCAAAAACCAAAATACGAGAAAAAAAAGTTAGCCTACGAACCTGCACACTGCCTGAAAAATCAGAATTCCCCCACACACCTACTTCAATCCTGTAACTAAACTAATTGTTACAAAAGACTCTAATCCCTGTCTGAATCAGACTTTGTGCCACAGAATTCACACCCAGAACACAAGAATCAGAAAAATCCCAGACGACTAAACTGACAGTCTTTTAATTTTGCGGGGAGCGTGGGATGCCAGAGAGAGAGGCGCGTAATTGCGCTCACTGTTGGCAGAAGTCTAGTGTTAGCTAACTTCGGGGTTCAGCGCGTGTGTGTTGGCGTTTAGGTTGTTGGGTCAGTTGAGGTTGTGGGGTGGGGGGAGGAAGAGGGATCATTTACAACCAGTCCTTCTTGAAAACGGTGGACAATGTACTCGGACGTTTCCGTGCAATGAAAAGTTTCTAGACTAACAGACTCTGATCAATGCCAATCAGATTACTTTTCTTCTGCTTTTGTAGGCGTTTTTTGCCTCTATATTTGTTGTTGTTTGTCATTGTATTGGTGTTGTTGTTGTTGTTGTTGTTGTTGTTGTTGTTGTTGTTGTTATTGTTCTTCTTCTTCTTCTTCTTCTTCTTCTTCTTCTTCTTCTTCTTCTTCTTCTTCTTCTTCTTCTTCCCCCTCTTTCGCCTTTTCCTGCTCTTTATTTTTTCTTTATCTTTATCTTCCTCTCATTGTCTGTCGTTCATCTCCGTATAGAGCATAGGCCTTAACTCTAAAACCTTTGTGATCGGTGTGTGTGCCTGTGTGTGTGTTTTTTTTTTCTCCAGAAAGTGAAACAAACAGTTCCCACTCCCACATGTTTTCTCCTCTGGCAGTTTGTTTGATAGAATATAGACAGAATATTACATATTTTACATATTTGCGTATTATTACTTGAACTTAAAATTCAAGAAAAAATGGCATCGTTGAAGATTTAGTGAAAACAAAATCAATTGAATACAGGAGACGACGAATTGAATGCAAGAGCTTCTCATATTTTCCTCTTGTTTTCTTTAAAATGTCGGCTCTGTGGCTAAGTCGATGCGAACACTTCGTAATGCCGGGATGCCGAGTTCGATCCCAGCTGCGGGCCATGGGCCTTGCGTTGGTTTCAAGAGTGGTATCAAGAAAGCCGACCGTCCAGGAAGCAATGACAAACTACTGGACGTAAATTTGCCTAGAAAAATCACAAAACAGCTTGGGGTTGTGGGGGTGGGTTCTGCAACGTCCTGTAAAGGATACGCAACTAACTTTCTTTAAAATAAGGAGAGTGAAAGTAATGATTTTGCAGTTAAAATTCAGTCACATTTAGATTTTCTGGTATAGGAGTTCAACCTCTGTTTTATAGATCTATCATTTGATGACTAGATTTTGAAGTTATCCAGAAATTCTTTCATTATTGACATTAGCCTACAGTTTATTCAAGAAAGCGCAACTGATCTGAAGTGTAATTCAAAGACTGAAGACGAATTCACATTTTTAGTTCTAGATATCAGGTAGAGGGGTGGGGGCAGTATCGTGCAAAGTACTTTCACTTTGCCACATTAGCTACAAATGCGTTCTTGTCATTTTCTCCAACACGCGTTTGTGAATCCGGAATTTCAGCGTTTACAACCATAAAAACAACACAGCTCTGCCAGCTAGACATGGAGAGTGATTTTTGGTGTACCTTTAAAAAAAAAAAAGCAGACCAACTACAACAGATACCAAGACAGAACATCGTCAACCACTTTGATATGTGGGCACTACATTGTAATTATTTCCTTTCGGATATTTAACACTTTGATTTATCTGGATGTTTTCCTGCAAGTTCTTGTTAATGGTGTTTGGGATTTTTTTTGGGTCCTCTTTTTTAATCACATTTCTTTGTGTAAAGCTGGAAAATAAGTGGAAAAAGGGGGGGGGGGATGTGGAGGATGCCACCAGAAACAGGTTGAAAACCTCTGATGTAGAAAGAAAGGTTGGATCGAAGTTAATGGGACTGACTGACTGACGAGCGATATACACCCGGTGACACAAAGTGCCCTAATTTAGATGAGGATTATCAGGGCACAAATCCTAGAAAACCCGTTCAATCCGTGTGTTATATAAACGCTCCCCCTCCTCCCCCAACCCTTTTAGACGACAGCCAGGGTGGGGTTTTCAAATTTAAAAAATAATAAAATAGTTGCTTCCTAAATCGGGACGGGGATTATAACTAATATAAGCAGCCAAAGAATGCTTGGATTCGTCTAGAACGTCTTGCAAAGGAAATGACCTCCACAATAAAAAAACCAGTCAAGCTATCCAGTCTTTTGCTAACCCTTCAAATGACCCTGGTAACCCAATACCATCAGGTACGACTAAAATGTGAATGAGGTAGGTGCTTTGCTGGAGAAAAAAAGTGTTACCGTCACATTCAACGAGCATCATCGACTGACTGACTGACTTTCTACCCCACCAGGACATCACACAAGCGATAAGCACCCGATGACACAAGTGCCACCATGCGGGTGGGGATCACCGTGGAGAGGTCACAGAAACCGCGTCAACCTTTAGGCCTTATTTATGACCAGGCTATATTGCTGCCCCTCTTAAGAGCCAGAGAAGAGCTTCAAAAAAAAAAAAAAAACGAAAAATGTCATCGTGAAGAGGACGTGAAGTGATAGATAGCATCACCGAAGGGGGAGCTTTTGGTTATAATTGTGACTAGGGTATGTGCGCCATATAAAATAGCTTAGCATTGCTCACCACAAAGAGCACTGAAAAGGATTCCTGCAGAGTTGATGCTATGAAATAAGACAGACCCAAATACTGTCCCAACCGGCGACGAAGTCGTCTACCGCCGAGCCAATTGGCGACGCGGTCGTCGATGAAATTTAAAGGAGCTAGAGAAAGCGTTTATAATCAACAAGGGAGAATACACATTGTTTTGAACCCGTTTTGAAATAGTGAAGGTTAAATCCCCTGAATTTGAAGATTGTTTCTATCTATCTATCTATCTATCTATCTATCTATCTATCTATCTATCTATCTATCTATCTATCTATCTATCTATCTATCTATCTATCTATCTATCTATCTATCTATCTATCTATCTATCTATCTATCAATCTATCTATCTATCTATCTATCTATCTATCTATCTATCTATCTATCTATCTATCTATCTATCTATCTATCTATCTATCTATCTATCTATCTATCTATCTATCTATCTATCTATCTATCTATCTATCTATCTATCTATCTATCTATCTATCTATCTATCTATCTATCTATCTATCTATCTATCTATCTATCTATCTATCTATCTATCTATCTATCTATCTATCTATCTATCTATCTATCTATCTATCTATCTATCTATCTATCTATCTATCTATCTATCTATCTATCTATCTATCTATCTATCTATCTATCTATCTATCTATCTATCTATCTATCTATCTATCTATCTATCTATCTGTCTGTCTGTCTGTCTGTCTGTCTGTCTGTCTGTCTGTCTGTCTGTCTGTCTGTCTGTCTGTCTGTCTGTCTGTCTGTCTGTCTGTCTGTCTGTCTGTCTGTCCGTCCGTCCGTCCGTCCGTCCGTCTGTCTGTCTGTCTGTCTGTCTGTCTGTCTGTCTGTCTGTCTGTCTGTCTGTCTGTCTGTCTGTCTGTCTGTCTGTCTGTCTGTCTGTCTGTCTGTCTGTCTGTCTGTCTGTCTGTCTGTCTGTCTGTCTGTCTGTCTGTCTGTCTGTCTGTCTGTCTGTCTGTCTGTCTGTCTGTCTGTCTGTCTGTCTGTCTGTCTGTCTGTCTCTGTCTGCCTATCGATTCACACATCCATCCATCCATCCATATATCAATAACAGAAGCACAGAGAACGAACAATCAATGAGAAGATGTAATTTAAACTTTCTAAGGTTAAACAGAATAGAATCAAAGTCAGACAACTAAAACACTTGGAGTAAGTAATTTGAGAAAAGTTCAATTGTAACGGATACACGAGCGAGGATATGTGATTTCGAGCAGGGATGTTAAAGTTGGTACTCTCGTACAAATCTGGTACTGTTTTACCCCTATCGAACAAAAAAGAAAAAAGATCGGGTGGAAAGATCTTAAGAGGCCAAAGCTTTGTTTAAGTGTCTAGTATTATTATTTATTATTATTATACTGTGGTGATTGAAAATATGAAAATTACGAATTATTGAAATAATTTGGCATGTTTAAACAAAAACTTAAAATGTGAACTTGCATAAATGGTTGGAAAATAAGAGGGGGCGGGGCGGCAGAGCCCTGTTGCATATTTAAGGAGGCTAAGGCCCCGCCCCTAAGTCCCCGCCCCCTAAGTCCCCAGTTTCCAAGCCCCCTTAAACACACCCCACATCAAATGTCAGGGTATCGCTGCCAGACCAGGAAACTATTCCGGGCAGCCCACGCTGAGGCCCACCAGAAAATCCACGATACTTGTTGGACCACAGTCTCCAAATATTCTCAGGGATTCTGACTGTGCCCAAGGTCGCAGAGATTTCTCCAGGCACGTACACACCAGAACAGAGTTCTCCCTCATGTCTAGGGTTTCCAGCTTTGCCAAAGCAGTAAAAGCTACAGACAGACGGGACAACTTGGTACTCATTAGCGATAAATATGTCAGCTTTTTCAGGTTTGAAAACGCAGAAAGGGAAATGCTGATGATTGGATTGTAATCAAGAATTAGGATCTCCATTGAGGAATTCTCTGGAAAAGCGGTATCGCTGATCCGGGTAATCAGATTATGAGAGATGTAGACATCTCTTACACTTGGTGTAATATCGACTCCTCGAATATCGCTAATGGAATTATAATCGAACCTAACTGTCATGAGGTTATCTCCAGTTTGCATAAACGCGTACAGGGATTGCACAAAGTTATTCTCAAAATCAAGATTTGTTAAAGAAGAAGGTATTTGGGAGAAGCCAATGTTAAATATGCGGTTATTTGTAAGATAAACCTCTTGGAGTTTCTGCAAGAAGACCAAATCTGGAAAAGCAGTTAGTTTGTTTCCATTCAACTGAAGAACCTGTAGCGAGGCGGCGAGTGGACGTAAGGCGTTGCTCAACTGACCACCGTCTGATAACTTGTTGTTCATCATACTTAGCGTGATCAAGCTGGTCAACGAATCAAGTCCGGTTACTTGAGAAATATTATTGCTGTCCAGTGTCAGTTCTGTCAGTAAGGTTAATTTGGACACTGATTTTGGAAAAGTGACCAAGCTGGCGTTTTCTAGATTTAGCGATGTTATGTTGGTCAGGTTGTCCAATGCATTATCTGGCATGTTCGTTAAGACTCCACTGGAGAGCTGCAGCGTTGTCAGGTGAAGACAGTATTGGATCCATGTTGGCCAAGAAGTCAAACCCACGTTATCAAGAACTAAAAGTTCTAAAGTGGAACAAAGATGTTTCATGATGTCCTCCCTCCAAACAAGGATGTTGGCCCATTGGATGATTAGCGTCTTCAAGGAGGTCAGGTGTAGTAAAGCCAAGGGAACCTCCTTGAAGTGAACGCCAGAGAACTGAAGTTCATTAAGCGTTGCGGTTGACTGGTCGAATGCAGTTTCGTCTATGGTGGCAATTGGGTTGTCACTGAAGTCTACGTTCGACAGTTGAGGTGGCAAATCTCCAGCGTGTATCTCTGTTATGTAATTATCCTGGTAATAAGTATATATGGGTGGGTTAATAAGTATATATGGGTGGGTTGATAAGTATATATGGGTTGGTGAATAAGTATAAATGGGTTGGTTAATAAGTATATATGGGTGGGTTAGTAAGCATATAAGGGTTAGTTAATAAGTATATATGGGTTGGGTAATAAGTATATATGGGTGGGTTAATAAGTATATATGGGTGGGTTAATAAGTATATATGGGTGGGTTAATAAGTATATATGAGTTGGTTAAAAAGTATATATGGGTTGGTTAATAAGTATATATAGATAGGTTAATAAGTATATATGGGTGGGTTAATAAGTATTTATATATATCTGTGGAAAAAATGCCGCACACATATTAGCATAGGCAAGTATGCATATCTGTAAGAATATTTAAGTGATCAATTGTAGCTTTCAAAGAAGTAAAACACCTTAACTTTGCAACTTTTCATGCATGTCGTAAAATATAACTAATGAGTCTGACATGAGGATGGCTCTTCGTCTCCTTTAGCTATAAAACACGTCCAGTCTACGCACTGTAGGGAGCTGGTTAAGACAGTGTGCTCCACTAGGATCAGATAGAGAAGCAGCAGCAGCAGAAGAAGAAAAAGAAGAAGAAGAAGAAGAAGAAGAAGAAGAAGAAGAAGAAGAAGAAGAAGAAGAAGAAGAAAAAGAAGAAGAAGAAGAAGAAGAAGAAGAAGAAAAAGAAGAAGAAGAAGAAGAAAAAAAGAAGAAAAAGAAGAAGAAGAAAAGGAAGAAGAAGAAAAAAGAAAAGAAGAACATAATGATGATGATGATGATGATCATGATTATGACGATGATAAAGAGTATAGACCCTTCGAGATAAAAAAAAACATAATTAAAACTTTTTAAATAAAATTAACCTCGGTTTCCTGGTCGACCCAATCTAAACTAGGTACCAGGTAATTCCTTGGGAAGTAAAGGCAACAGGAAAGGATCTTGACCACAGCTCCCATATAGTACCGATTGGTCTATAAAATTATGAATCTTGCATCAAATCGCCGATGATCCACTGGGGTATAAAGTTTCCATTACCCAGTTTACTCACTATTTGCCGAATGCGACAATGGGCTTACTTAACAAAAGTGCAATGTTTTAATGTGGCTGCAACAGGGCTGTCGAAGTTGGTACTTTCATACTAATTTGGTACTATTTGACCTTTGACGAGTACATATTACTTTATCCTTTAACTTTAATCTTTAACCTCTTGGTACTATGTCCAATGTTTTTGGTACATTTTAGAAATTTTTCATCAATTTTTTAAATGTTTGCATTGTAAGTTTTATCCAGTAAGTGTTACTAGAGGAGGACCGACATCCTTTGGAATTGTCTCAAGGCTCTGTTGTTGTTGAGATTTCTCCCCGCTTAACAATCATCATCATCATGTGCCCTGCTAACTGACGTAGAGACTCATGCATCTCCACAGATCCTGATCACTGGTTGCCTGGAATAGCTCTCTTGATGATATCCCTCCATGCCATCGTTTCAGCCCATCCAGCATCATCTCTCTTGGTTTGCCTCTACCTCTTTTTCCACTGATCTTTCCAGTTGTCATGTTGTTCTCCAATATCTCTCTTCTCATTATGTGGCAAAAGAACAGCGTTTGTCTCTTTCTTATTTTTGTATATGGAGATTTACTTTCATTAACTTCTTTTAAACAATCGTTGTTAGTTACTCTCACCGTCTCAGAAACCAGATCTCTGTTGCTTCCAAAGTCTTCCTAATCTGTTCACTGACATACAGCAGAACAGGTTCTATGTAACATTTTAGCACCCTCTTTTGCTTAAGAATATTAGAATTTTTTTTTTAAATCACTCTTCTTTGAAGACTTCCATTATAAATACATTGATGAGATCAAAGGTAATTCATCGGGTTATTAATTTCACTCACTGGAAGACGAAACAAAAGCTTTGTAACAGATTCATCGGAAACATTGTAACAGATTCATCGGAAACATTGTAACAGATTCATCGGAAACATTGTAACAGATTCATCGGAAACATTGTAACATATTCATCGGAAACATTGTAACAGATTCATCGGAAACATTGTAACAGATTCATCGGAAACATTGTAACAGATTCATCGGAAACATTGTAACAGATTCATCGGAAACATTGTAACAGATTCATCGGAAACATTGTAACAAAAATGATGTAATGGACGAATAAGCTCAGTTCTGATCAAATTTGAACTAAGCCCCCCCCCCCCCCACACACACACACACACACACACACACACACACACACACACACACACACACACACACACACACACACACACACACACACACACACACACACACACACACACACACACACACACACACACACACACACACACACACACACACACACACACACACACACACACACACACACACACACACACACACACACACACACACACACACACACACACACACACACACACACACACACACACACACACACACACACACACACACACACACACACACACACACACACACACACACACACACACACACACACACACACACACACACACACACACACACACACACACACACACACACACACACACACACACACACACACACACACACACACACACACACACACACACACACACACACACACACACACACACACACACACACACACACACACACACACACACACACACACACACACACACACACACACACACACACACACACACACACACACACACACACACACACACACACACACACACACACACACACACACACACACACACACACACACACACACACACACACACACACACACACACACACACACACACACACACACACACACACACACACACACACACACACACACACACACACACACACACACACACACACACACACACACACACACACACACACACACACACACACACACACACACACACACACACACACACACACACACACATATATATATATATATATATATATATATATATATATATATATATATATATATATATATTCGCTTCGGGGCCGAATAGTGGACCTAATCACTATTCGGTATTCGGCCGAATAGTTACGGTCGGGCCGAATACGAATAGTTGTTACTTACACCCATTTATGCATACACTGCGATGGACTGAAATAACTCTCTCATTAACACAATCGTTGCTGTTGCTTAAGTCTGTAGTAGCAGGGGAACTGCAATCCGGTTGCGTGGTTCAAACTGCATAAAATGCCAACCGCAGTGTGTGTGTGTGTTTTTGAGAGAGAGAGAGAGAGAGAGAGAGAGAGAGAGAGAGAGAGAGAGAGAGAGAGAGGGGGGGTAGATAGAGATCAAGCATGTTTCGTTCTTTCAGTGTGTCTTCGCCCAAATCAAGTTTGAAGAGAATTTCTAACGAGAATATGAAGGTGCGTAAAATTACATCGAACGAACGGCCGAGCGAACGATGGTTTTGAAAGAGGCGGGAGCCCGAAGACAACTAATCACAGTCATCATAAGGAGACAGTCGTCATTTTTCGGCCATGTTATGAGAAAAGGGAAAATGGAACATTTAGTGACCACTGGAAAGATCTGTGGAAGGAGGGATAGAGGAAGGCAACGAGATAAGATAAGATGGCATGGAGGTGGGTCAGCACACGAACTGATACATACTGCAGGAGATCGCAGATTGTGGAGAGGCATGATGGCCCACGCCAGTCGGCAAGGCACCTGATGATGATGATACACTATTTGTATTCAAATTCGTATTCGGCCGAATAGTTGGTCCCACTATTCGTATTCGGCCGAATAGTGAAAATCACTATTCGGTACAGCCCTAAAATATATATATATATGTGTGTGTGTGTGTGTGTGTATGTGTGTGTGTATGTGTGTGTGTATGTGTGTGTGTGCGTGCGCGTGCGTGCCTATGTTGAAAACACGTTTTTCCAGCTTTACAAAAATTAAACATAAACAATGTGTTACTTTTTTGTGTTTTGGTACCTTTTGAAAACTATTTGGTGTTATCCCCCCCCCCCCCCCCCCGCTCCTACACTCCCCCAACCAACCCTAAACACAAAACAATTTAGACAGCCCTGTGCTGATATACTCCTTGTGTCTAGTTCTCTGTTCCCACCCAAATGAAGATCAAGACAATTTGCACAGTCGTTGAGGCTCTAGTATAACTATCGTATAAGGCTGAACAGTGTCGTCCTTACCCGCATAGGCCTGCATGTTACACCAGCGTCCTAGTGATACCTTCTCTGGGGGTTGAACGGGGTAACTCTCTCTTGTTGTACCCAACCAGCACAACACACAAGCGATAAACACCTGATGACACAAAGTGCTACCATTCGGATGAGGATCACCCGTGGAGAGGTCCCAGAAACCACTTTAAGCCGTAGGGCCTTATCTATGGGCCGGCTATACCCAGGACCCCGGGCAAAAGCCAGGGTGGGGCTTTATATAACAAAAAAATTGCATCAACGTGGGGATAACATTTTTAAATAGACAGGGTATCTGGGATCTATCTTATTTATCAGCAGTCCAGAATTAGGCTTTTAAATCTCAGGATAGGATGGTAAATTTTAAGTAGCAATCCGGAGTGGACAGTCTGATCGATCCATCACGATCGAACGACGTGTCTGATTGGAATATGTTAAATGTGCATCCAAAGTGTGGCTGCTTTAGTTACAGGATCAATCTTCTGTTTGCAGTCTTGGTAAAAGAGTGACAATGAAACAAAAGAGAGAGAGAGAGAGAGAGAGAGAGAGAGAGAGAGAGAGAGAGAGAGAGAGAGAGAGAGAGAGAGAGAGAGAGAGAGAGAGAGAGAGAGATCGTCTTTTTAAATTCTTTCTTCCTGTCATAAGCTGCCATTCCTTTCTTGGCCCCTTTAAGATTTCGAGATTTGTTTATTGTGGAAATGGGTGTTAAAAAAAAAAAGTAAAACACACCTCTAAATTCAGATTGTAGATTCCTGTCAGACCGGTGTAGTTTCCTTTCGGGAACACCTTTA